GTTCTCTGAGCTAAGTTGTTTAATCAGGAAGCTTTCATCGTCTTTCTGGGAGACATCATCAGCACTAACTTCATATTAAGAACCCAACACAACCATGGAATGCATCCTTCATGCAAACTATCTAAATCTTCATTCAACTTGTGCACATGTACATCGACTGTTTCATGTCTCCATATTCCCGCCTTCTGAAACTATGCCAGATACCTACGTTTCATTTCACTGAAATTTCCTTTATTGGGTTACGCATTTCCCTCGGCGAAAATGGAATGGTGTCGAAGAAAAGTCGAATAGAATAGAACTGTGAGGTAGTGTTTTGGTCTCTTCATCAGATTTTATGTATTATTTACATGAATTTACTAGACATTCGAATTTCATCTCAGTTTCCATTGGAAGGCTATGCCAAGGTGTCGTCTGTTTGAGATTACTGATTGCAGAAGAATCTTTGTTATGTACACTTTATGTCTATTCTAACATACAGAGGATATTTTGTTACATAAAACTGAGAATATATTCAACTTTCTTTTACGAATATTTGCTTATCGAAGTATAAAAACCGTTACCTAGTTGAGAAATAGGCACGTGTTTCCTATCTGTTCTGTGTTCACAGGAGTCAAACAGATAGCCTCATTGTCTTTTGTACAGTATAACATATTCCTCGTATCTGTATAGCAAGAAAACTGTTTACTATACATTTAGGGAAACGAACAGCGGTCACTTCATATTTACTTCCAGTCCTCTTCATTAGCTTCACTGGAATCAGTATACAGTTCAAAAATGCAGGCTGTTGAAAATGATATAGTTAATGATTAAATTTTGTTGACAGAAAGCCAACAGTCAAAATATAAATGAATTGAATGCTTTGTACACATTTGAAGCATCTTTAAACAGCCTGGAGTGACTGACACATTAAGAAATCCGCCACGTTATAGGTATATATATAAGCATAAACACATTATTTATTAATTATACACTCGGAAATAATATTTCCCCCTCCCTTTCTCTCGACAAAATACTCAAATTATGCCCAAATGAATGTTAAAACCTAATAACTCGTGGCAAAACCTCTTCTCACTCTTAGTTCAATCTACAAGGTGATATTCTCAATGTGATTTACTATATATTGTTGGTAGATCAATCATCATTTGGAACCAATGTGAAGTAGTCGTCAAATTAATATGGCATGAGGTGTTTGTTTTGCTTGGATGAACAAAGAAGTAAAAAATATCTTTTGCATGATGGCATAATGCTAGGTGGTGGATGGTAACTAGGAAAATGGAATGATTGTCTTCTATTGGGTTCATCCAAAATGTGATTGTTAAAGAAAGGCTGAATACAATACGAAAAAATGAAGAGAATACTTTCTGTACTGTGTATTGATGATTTTGCTGAATTTACCTAAGATGTTACAGTATTACACGATTTATGTGTTTGACGTTCTAGGATGTCTGTCAAGAGTTAGGTTGTGAGAAGTCTGTTACTCCGTAGCACAATTCCAACATGAACTCAACAGTTTTGTGAGCATATGAAAGCTTTGTAGGTGATCAGTATATATTAAGAGTCCCACGATATTCTAAATATCTCACAACAACAGCACAGCTTACCTTCCCCTGCTATGCGTTAACAAGACGAAGATAAAGTGAAAATAGTGAAACATGGTTAACTAGGTTATCCCAGCACAAAATGCTAACTAGATGGAAAATGGTAGATCTGAGTCAGATAAGAAATCTAGAAACGGCTTGACAACAGCTATGCTTGCACTTACATAAAGTCATACAAGGGGATGTGACTGTGCGAAAATGCTTAAAACAAATCTAGTGAAATAGTGGGACTTCCCCAGATGGATACATTAAAAATCTGATAAACTTCATCTTAATCTCAAGAAAAAGGAGACGCAGCCTACTTGACACAAGATCAGACCAAGAAAGGGAGCAGGCATAGGTTCACACCAATCACTATCCAATGAAAGGAAGCTATCTTCAAAACCAAGTTGAGAGTCTTCACAGAAGTTGGTGATAGACCACAGTTCAAGTTTAACACGCAGAAATTGAAGGACAAAATCACAAAGAATATCCCCACGGCAGCCATCAGAACAAAACCGGAGACATTGAGCAACATCCCTGAAGAAACCTATGTGGATGAACACCGGAACTCTTTGAAAGAGATGTGGGAAGAAACCTGCATAACGCTTTTAGAAAGGAAAAGGAAAGAAGATAAGGAATGGATCTCGACAAACACATGAAAGCTGATAGAGGAGAGGAGGATAGTGAAGCAGAAGATGAACCAGTGCAAGGATACTCAACGACAAGAGGAACTGAGTACAACGTATAAAACACTGGACACAGAAGGGAAGAAGAGTGCACAGAAAGACAAAAGACACTTCTACGAAACACTGGCAAGTGAAGCAGAACAGGCTGGAGGCTGGTAGGAGAGACCTGACAACATTGTATCAAACAACCAGGTTACTATCCGAGATGGAAGAGATCAACACAGATGAAATCAATAAAAGATGATGAAGGAAAGCTATTAACCGAAGGGGAGAAGCGAAGGAAACAATAGGCCGACCACTTCGAAAAGCTCTTGAATTGACCACCACCTGCACTTCGTCCAGAAATACCACCAGCAACGGCAGAAGTACAAGTGAACACAGACCCTGCGACAAAAGCAGAAGTTTTGAACACCGTGAAAATGCTGAAATTCGGGAAAGCAGCAGAACCGGATGGAATCCGGCCAGAAGCATTGAAAACAGACGCAGACACAACGACAGGCATACTCATACCAATACTGCAGAAAGTTTGGAAGGAAGGGAAGGTACCGGCCTATTCGTTGGAAGAAGGATGACCTTGTCAAACTCATAATCGTAGAACAGAGTATGGAATGACAGCCAACTATCTACCTCAACCTCGTCGACTTTGAAAAGGCTTTCGACAGCGTCGATCGAGAAGTAATTTGGCAACTGCTTCAACCTCATTCAACAGTTATATGAAAACGCCACATACCAAGTGATCCACAATGGAAAGCTCAGCCACACCTTTGGAGTGAAGACAGAGGTAAGACAAGGCTGTCTACTATCACCCATGATCTTCCTGATTGTGGTCAACTGGATCATGCAGCAAACCGTGAGGAGCGAGAAGAGGGGCATACGCCGACTGGACCGATGAAAGACCCTAGAACATTCGGATTTCGCCAATGATGTTTTACGTCTAGTGTCTTATGTTGCATAAACTCGAAGATCTACAGGCGAAAACTAACAAGTTGACAGAAGGGGTGAGGCAGCGGAGATGAGACTTCGTTCAGGTGAACGTAGAGAAGACAGAGGTGATGAAGATACCCAACCAATAACAGCATCAACAACAAGCACCAATCAGCATCAACAGGAGAAACCTATAGGAAGTTGTCTCGTACACCTACATAGGCAGGCAGCATCGTTTCAACTACAGGTGGCGGCGGCACAGACGAAGATGTCAAAACCAGTCAGGATCGGAAAGACACCATGATGAGACTTCAATAATCTGAAACCAGTGTGGAGATCTACTGCACTCCACTCAGCATAAAGCGTGAACAAGATCCGCATTCTCAACATGAATGTCAGTCACGTCAGTGCTGCAATTTGGTTCAGAAACTTGGCGTGTCACGAAAAGCATTTCCAACAAACTACAGACATTCATCGACAGCTGCCTAGCCTGACTTGATACTCAAGCTCAGATGGTCAGAAAGAATAAGCAACAAAGAAGTCTGACCTGATAACGAACCATCCAATTACCTATCACTCAGCAGATATGGAGAAGAAAGTGGAGGTAGATTGGGCATACACTGAGAAGGCCGATTGGGGACATCACACGTCAGGCCAGGCCGTCGACTGGAATGCAAAGGGGAAACGGTGAGTTGGGCATCCCAGCTGAGGGTGAGATGGAAGAGATCATGTGAGGAAGAAATGAAAGCTTTTGGGTATTCGTGGATGGAGGTTGAAAAGACTGCAGAGAACAGAGTGAAATGGAGACATACTACTGATGCTCTATGTTTCACTAGGAACCCAAGAGAAAAATAACAATAATAACCAATCTCGCTGTGACTAAAGGGCAATGAATTCTATCTGAGACATTATCCACTAAGTAAGATGGTGATCTGTGGCTGAATGATTAGAGTTCTTTATTCGATAGTTTACATGGTTCTGTGTATGCTTATAATTTGAATACTAATGTAGAATGGAATATATCAGTTGTATAAAATGTTGAAATCGATAAATATGTGAAATACAGGAAGCCTTTTACTATCGGTTGTATATGTGTCAAAACTTTGTACTTTATTCCATTCTTCTTGAGACAGGCTATACAGAATTCATTAGGTGTTAGCTGCCATTGAGAGAGTAACAGAGTTGGAACAAATTGATGTAAAATGTACTGTTGACTTAGTGAACTCCACCGAAAGAGATCAGCCATGAATGTTGACGTAAGAATGAAGATTACTGAAAGCTACCTTTCTTGTATACTACTGAGACATTTCCAACCGATTAGCAAGAACTCTTTCCACAAATGTTTTGATTCAATTCTAATCATTTTCTTATTACCCAATTTTATTCGGATAAAATGTTTATTTGCGCATAAAATGATACAGGATTTGTACAAAGGAATGAATATATCATTGAAATCAACTTCTGTATGAGAATAAATTTTCCAATAACTCACCATTCACTTGAAAATGTTGGTTATAGCGGAATATGTTATTCCTTAAACATCAATTCTTTCTCAAGTTATTTAAAGTTATTTTAGAGAAGAATACATAACAAAGAAAGAAAAGGTTATCAACGAAGGAGGTAGAGGATGAGTAGAAGTAATATGCCTTACTACTGAAAGTGTTTTCGTTGTCATCACCATCATCATCAGTAGCAATATTTTTCAGTACTCATCAGTCAATTTTTGATTGGTCGACTTCAATCTTCCCATTCTCTAACCAAATTTTTGCATTGTGGGCGTTATCAATACCAGTTTACAAGCCTAATATATTATAATTCGTGTTTATCATATTGACAATGTTATTTGAGTAAATACACATAATATATATATATACACTGGGGTTTGAACAATTGAAGTTATGTTTTAAAATTTGCACTTTCGGGGTATTTATTTATTTTGTGGCGAAGAAAGGAAATAAAAAAACAACGTGAGTAGTATAGTATATCTCACTGTGCATTTATGTATGTTTCTTTATGCTTTGTTGTAATCATTTATGATTTTGTAATAAGATTGTCATAGTTTTCAACGGTTCTTCGATTGATGTCACAATTAATGTTAGGTGAATACGACCAGTGAAGCGCATTTCATCTTCCCGATTACTCACTACCTACTGTTCATAATAGTCAGCTGGAATTTAGATGCCAAGTAAGATAGCAGGATTATTATTATATTATTTTATTATTAGTCCCTTGGGTTCCTAATGGAACATAGGGCTTCAGTAGTACATCTCCACTCCACTCTGTTCTCTGAAATCTTTTCAACCTGGTTCCACGACTGCCCACAAGCTCTCATTTCCTCCTCACACGATCTCCTCCATGTCACACTCACCTCGGACACCCAACTCGTCGCTTCCCATGGGGATTCCACTCGACGGCGTGGCCTGACGCATGATGTCCTTAGTCGGCTTTCTCACTATATGCCCAATCCATCTCCACTTCCTTCCAGTGCATATTTGTTGAGTGATAGCTTCTTGGTTGGTTCGTTCCCAGAGCTCCTTGTTGCGTATTCTTGTTATTCTGGCCATCTGATCTTCAGTATCGAGCCAGCGTAACATGACGTTGGTGTTGAAAATCCGGATCTTGTTCCACATGCTGAGTGGAGTGCAGAAGATCTCCACACTGGTTTCAGGCTAATGAATGCCTGTCTTGCTTTTCCGATCCTGTCTGGCTTTGACATCCTCTTCTGTGCCTGTGCCGCCTGTATTTGAAACAGTGCTTCCTAGATAGGTGAAGGAGGTTACTTCCTTTAAGTTTCTCCCGTTCATGGTGACTGGAGTTTGTTGTTGTTGTTGGAGTTGTTGGTGCGGTATCTTCATCACCTCTGTCTTCTCTATATTCACTTGAAGTCCCGTCTTCGCTGCTCTGCCCTTCCTCTTCTGTCAACTTGTTAGTTCCCGCCTGTAGACCTTCAAGTTTGTGTGACATCAGACACAAGTCGTTGGCATTGATAGCAGGATTAATTTTTATAAAATCTGTTGTGAAATATGAAGAAGTGTTTTTAACATAGATATATACTTTTGATGGCAAGCAAGCTGAAGACTGATAAATTATATTCTTTATTATAAACTTCAGTACTTTTCAGTATATTCTTGAACGAGATAACTTTTATGGAATTCTATTTCCATAACCTTATTTGTGGTGACTCAAAATTTTGATGGTATTCTATCAACTTTCATCAGTAAACAACATGCGGTTGGTTTCTCTCCAGTGATCAATCAGTGTACATCATACAGTCCTATTGAAGGTGGACAAAGGTGAAAATAGTTCATTACTAATGTATCTGACTGAAGTACTGGGTGATATGAGATCCAGTTTCAGAAATGACACCAAATCTGTTGAGGTTTCAGACTCACCTTGCTGATAAGTGCTAACAAGCAGGAAAGATGAGTGCCCGACCTCCTGTGAATTCACTTCATCAAACTAAAATTCCTCAGCTGTTTCGAAATTATCTGCCCATCAATTTTACTATTCTTACTGACCAAATTGAAACACATTGAATAAGGTTTAATATATCATAACTTCTTATCCAACGATAATTCTTCATCTTTGCATCGTTTACATCATTGTAAATCAAAGTTAAATAAACAGTTTATCAGTTTGACTATCTGAGTGTGATAGTCATGGTTTGACAGACTTGGATTTTTGTTACTAAGTGATATGAAGTGAAATGAAAATGTGGAGTGTGGAGGGATTTCAACAAATGGCCTCCGCATCAGAGGTCTGGTGCTTTACCATCGAAGTCACGAGATCCGACTGCTGTCATGTGAATTCGTGATGTGTTACTATCCCTTGATTGTTGTGATACTGGCTAATCAATCAGGATTTTTTATACTGATCGAAATCTATTTGAATTAAAAGGGTGGAATAGGGAAATATTACATTGATCATCAGTTGAACAATAGGAGTGAGATATCAGTGGTTTGGCAGACTTACCTCGATACTGACTATTACAACCTTCAAAAATTAACACCGAGTCATCGATCAAACCTATGGACTTCTTATAGAAATTGTAGGTAAATAAACACTTAGATATATCATGAAATTGTTATTCTTGAAGTATGTTCAAATGATTAACGTATTCATTTAAAATTGAAATAAAAATAATTCATATTTAATGATAAATACTTTGGGTTCATCTTTACTCTCCCAGGGGTGTATTGTAACTTCTTGTTCTGCATAACAATATCATAGTTAATGCTAATTAAGAATATATTGATAAATGTTCGACGATTATAGATTAGAGTGATCCCTTTTTTTATTCTTATACTACTTACTATAAATCAATATTAGTAGTACTTGTGTTCAATTAGGTATCCTGAATTTACGCAATAAATTATAATGCTCAAACTTGAAAATTTTTTGTATATTGAAGTATAACATTCAACATTGAAGTGAAGGTTAAGTGAATATGCAAGTACCTAAATTTTACAGTACTTCACTCAAAATCACATCACCTATCGTATAGACTTGCAATTATACATTATACTTTTCAGAGTGTATATGATACATAGTGGAATGAGTATTTTTGCTTGATATTTTCAACGTATGACATGAGAATAATTGAATCCATTATCAGTGATAAAACTACATCAATTCTCCTATGAATAGCATCTGGAACACTGTGTACTTACTGGCTGTTTGCAGACAACTGACGTCTTTATAGCTGCATTTCAGACAAAGAAAAATAGTTGAATGTATATCCTGGATAGGGACATTGGGAATTTACATCGCATTTTTTTACAGCATTTAAAATGAACGCTTTTGATGTTGTTTAAAGGCTTCCATGCGATCACTTATAAAGCTGTTTTATTCGTCAGCTACCTAGTATGTAACATTACACTAGGCGATAAAATATGCACAGTCTCTAATGACTTACGTAGCTGCCTAGTTGCGTATGTTGAAATTGGTGGAGTGACTTCGGAACTGAGGATAACTTGCTTCATAGTTAAACAGCTAAGCCACCAACTAGCAGTACTTCAGCGTCAAGCACTTGTAGTGTAAATATTTTGATCTTCTCCCATGTTATGATGTATGGGAGGAACATCGATTTTGCTCAGAGTCAATTAAGCTAGTTGATTAGGTTGAGGGTAAAATGAACCGATTTCGTCCGATTGTTTAGTAAAAGGCATTCAACTTCCTATATATTAACAGTTTTCGACTACAGTCTTCATATAAACAAAGGTGCGATTACTGAGTAGAAGGTCCTCAGTTAGCAGATCTATATTAGATTTCGAAAAATTAATTTTTCCACTGACCTTTCCACTCACTTGATTTATGTAACGTTTATTACATTTTCAACAATTTTCATTGGAGTAAGTAGTACGCCTTGAATGTGCTAACTTTACCTCGAGGTCAGTCTCAATTGTGTTTAATGTCACTATTGGAAACAGTCATGGTGTAGCGCCGTGACAATGCTAGTACGAGGTAATGACTGAAAGTGTTAAGAAGACCTGGGTTGGAGTAGAGTTCAGTCCACTATCCGTCGAAATCTCCATACAGAACTGCACGAACTCACGATACCTAGTTGCTGACCAGGTTTCAACTTTTCAGTAACTGAGGTTTATTTCTGGTTGTCGTTGTATGAATATGTGACACTTCACTCTCCCCTTATTCTAATCACACACACACATGGATTAGCTTATCACTTACACATAATACTATGCCAGTTAAGCAAACCACAGTCAAATTAGAGAGTATTATGAAAGTATATTTCGTAGGGGAAACAAAATTCAGTATCTCTTTTGTAGTTATGAATTTACACAGTAAGCTGAGTAACAGATTACCGTACTTCGGTTTAATTAAGACGAATACATCCCATTTCAGACATGTTGCTTAACTAAGCTCTCGTCATTTGATGAAGTTCGCTTTGCGCTGTAATGAAGGGAACTGAAGCTTAATTCACTCTGATAGTGTTAATTTGTTATAAGGCAAAGTGATAAAGTTTGGTTCACAACGTAACGCTTTAAGCAGAACTCTTCGCTCATATTCCTATCAAAGTAATCGTACGAATTTCAAACTTCTTTCAACTTAGTTCAACCGTTCTTCATTCGTTTGTTTCAATAATAGTTAAATCCTCCAAATATCTGTAACACGTTATGTATCATTCGTATTCCATTTGTTACAAGTGTGTTGATCCAATGAACAAAGAATCTGTGATTAGTCTCTCCCACAATCTAGCTATATTGGATCTTACGTTTGTCAGTCTACCTCCCCCATCCCCTCATAGTGTGATTATAGGTCAGGACACGCAGAGTAATGGCCAGTTTTTCTCTAAGTTACCTGTCCTAAATGTTTGTGCTCTACTATTCTGACGGACCCTATAAGCTGTTGTGACCCAAATACCTTGACCTCACAATCACTATATGTGATTATTTGATTAATTGGCTTTACTGTAAATCTTAGCCTACAAAGTTTTTCTCTCAGTTAGTTTGTGCATTGAAATGTTATATTAGCTTTGTTTATTTGATATATGTAGCGTATAGTGTCAGTGTATTTTTACCTGATGACGTTCTGAGCATAGATTATTATTTCACATAATCATAAAAATGTTTAAATGCCACCCTAATCCCATACACGAATGGCAGATGGTACAGGTTTTAGGATTTGATCTCGCCGTTTTTAGAAACCAGGCTGTTAGACGTTCTAGTATAGTGTAATGGACGTGTGTAATCATGCGTTTGATATAACTTGTTGCGCAGAAACAGTTGACTTGGTATGTAAATTATGGTGATCTAGAATCGGGTAAGAGGTCCTTTGGTCTTAGATTGAACAATGTTTGACTATTAAATAATAGGTGAAGACGTTCTGAGTAGAACGTTCTATTTATTACTCTGGATAAATATTGTGACATTTTCCAGTTTTCCATAAACATTCCTGAAGGACTGAAGTGAGAGTAGCAAAGGAGGGTTAGGATCTTGGAACGATCACA